TAGACCCTAATCCCCAAACCCTAAACTGTAGGACTATAAGAGCCCCAAGTACTGCGGATCCTTCCATGCAAGACGAAGCTGGTGAGACCCTACTTTTCAGGAGACAACCTTGCGAGCCGACCGCAGCCGCTGAAGTCCTGAACCAACCGGAAACCCAAAGCACCAGACCGTAGGGTTTAGGGTTTAGGGCTTTTTAGGGGTTTGGGGTTTAGGGTTTAGGGGTTTAGGGTTAACACCTAAACCTTGAGAAGGTTCCGTCTAGTTTTCCGAGCTGGCACTGAAAGCAACCCTACAGCAACCCCATTTCCAAATCCTTATAGAACTCCACATGCTGTTGAAGCGCTAAAGGCTCTTGTGCAACCTGGGGAACCCATGTACCGTAAAGCGATATCAAGCTAAACCCCACCCGAGAGAATCCAAACGCGACAACCCCAAGCCCAGGACTCTGAATCCCAACGCTTTAAGCCCTTAACCTCGAACCTCTAGGACGGCTCGTCTCCGCCACCGGAGAAGCGCCGAAAGAGCTGAATGCAGAGTTTCGGCGAAAAGCTGGCTTCCGAAGGATTTAAGGGGAAACGCTAAATCCAAAACGCCCAAACAGAAACCGCCCTGCCACCCTCAATCCCTAAAGCGTTGCTCCGAAGTCCTTGACACCCCAAACTCCCTAGAACCGTTGCAGTCTTACGCCCCAACACCCCCAAACCCTACATCCTTAAACCCCTGAACCCAAAAGTCCCAAACCTTTAAGCGCTTAAACGCTTCATTCCCTAAACCCCTCCACCCCTTAGAATCGCTAGAATCCCTAGAATCCTAAACCCTAAACCCTAAACCCTAAACCCTAAACCCTAAACCCCTTCGGTCCCTAGACCCGTCTTTTCGGCGGCCTCCTCGGCCTCCGAGTTCGGCCTTGCTTTTTTTCCTTCAGCAGGCCCCCGAAGCACGAAATAGGGTTTTGGGGTTTTGGGGTTTTGGGGGTTTGGGGTTTGGGGTTTAGGGTTTTGGGGTTTAGGGTTTAGGGGTTTAGAATTTAGGGATTCAACTCGATGCCACCTACTGGGGAGTTCCCCAAATTAGAGTCTCCTTCTGGGTCCCCAAATGTAGTACGACACCCTTATAGAAACGACCCTAAAATGGGACTCCTCATTTAGAGAGCTACCCACGTAGCCGAGTCTATATCTTGTAGGCAATGTGATTCGCCCTGTCGCCAGGGAACTCAGCAGGTAATTGTCTGCGTGCTTTCAGTGTCTATCCAAAATGCTCACGCGAGTTTGTGAAGCTTCAACCGTTCTGGCTCAACGTGTACCGCCTTCATGTTTCTAGCATTCTAGCAATCCTGATGATAGGAGTACGTCCTATTGCCTCGTGTTGCTGCAGCTATGACTCCGTGCTGGCTTGCACATCAGGGCGTGGGGTTACTGGGAAATGGCTACATAAAGCTTCAAAGTCCCTAAACCCTAGGCTAACTGAACCCTAAACCCTAGACCCTAAACCCCATAAAAGGTTCCATAAGGGGCCGAGCGCCATTCGATACCATGGCAGATGGATCCTTCAGCTGGTTCGCTGAGGCGCCGAGGGGAGGAGAGGTCATGTCTGAATATTTGGGTCGCTGAGAGACCGAGTAATATAGAAGCTTAAACTTACCAATATTACTGTTAGGCTTCCTTATTATAATAGTACTTTCAAGGAGCCGAAAACCCTATTAGGGTTCCTTATTATAATAATACTATAAAGCAGCCCAAAACCCTATTCTGATTATTTAAGGCCCTTCATCCCAAATACCTTATAGTACCCTTTATAGTAGCCCTGTTAAAGGACCCCTTAAAGGAACCTTATTCTAATGATTTAAGGCCCCCACAATATCTTCGAAGCCCTGGCCAGCTGCAGCAGCTCGGCAAAGACTTCGATGCCCCCTCGGACGAGGAAGAGCCTGCCGAGGAGCTGGGCATCTGCGGTTTAGGGTTGAGGGTTTAGGGTTTAGGTGTTTAGTGTTTTGGGTGTTAGGTGTTTAGGGTTCAGGTGTTTAGGGTTTAGGTGTTTACGGTCTTTTTGTTTAGGTGTTTAGGGTTTAGGGTTTAGGTGTTTAGGTGTTTAGAGTTTAGGGTTTAGATGTTTAGGTTTTAGGGTTTAGGTGTTTAGGGTTAAGGGTTTAGGTGTTTAGGGTTTTGGTGTTTAGGGTTTAGGTGTTTAGGTTTTAGGTGTTTAGGGTTTAGGGTTTAGGGTTTGCCTGCAGCCATAAACCCGGATGTGCTCGCTCCCGCTCTCGTCTCATTTGCAGCCAGGAGACGCCGGCGCAGCGCAGCGCCCGCTTCAAAGCAGACCGGCACCACGCTTCAAAACTTGAGAGGGTTTAGGGTTTAGGGTTTAGGGTTTAGGTTTTAGGGTTTAGGGTTTAGGGTTTAGGGCGGCTCCCAAACACCCCAAGCGTAATCGGGGCTATGCTGAGAGTCCTCATTTGAAGCAATCTGGGCACGGGTTTACATCAAGGCTAGCGCCTCACCGCTGAACCGAAGCTGCTGAGCCCAAGACTCAAAATGCAAAAAGCCCGAAGCGCTACTCCCGGACATTTTTCGGGCGGGTTTCTTGGGGCCTGGATTCTACTGCCTGGTTCCTAAGTACCGTCTCGGAAGTCGTGGAGAGCTTGTGGCTTCTTGTGTACTTCGACCTTCATGCTGTTGTTATGTATTCTTTTCCCACTTTCGCATGCCATTACGCACAACTATCCGTAGCCTCCGTTGCGAATGCTGATTGAGAGAGAACACAGACCTAGATCTAACACAGTACCAGCGGAAAGAACAAGAACATGCAAGTACCAGCTGGCGCACAGTTGGGAGCCCCACAAGAGCCCTTGCGCGAATAGTCGAGGATCTTAGCACTATGAATCCTTATGAAGGAGGGTTTTCTGTGGAGAATGTTGAGGTCTTCATCCTCCGGTTCCGAAGCCTCTGAGCAAGATCGGGATGAGGATGATCTGCAGGATGGGCGCGGCCTAGGGTTTCAGTTCAAGCACAGAAGGGGTTCCCTACTAAACCCCGAAACCCTCAACCCTAAACCCCTACAGGCGTTTAAGGGCCTTGGGGGTTGCGGGTTTTTCACGGCAACCATTGAAGGTTCACGTGAGAGATGCTCAGGGGTTTGGTTTTCGGCATGCGGCGGTGCAGAAACTTGGGTCGAGGTTGTTGCAGGTGGTTCGTCGGTTCAGGGTTTGCGGTGGACGGATCCAGGGCTCAAGGTTTAGAGGTTTTGGGCTTTCTTGATTTGCATTCGCATGGACATCATCACTAGCATCAGCCAGCGGGACGCAGCCGCACAGGTATCTAGGCACACGCTCAGCCTTCGACAAGCGAGTGGGGATGGAAAAGCCAGAATCCCGAAAGGGTGGAATCCTCCCCCAAAAAACGGTCGGAGAGTTGCAAACCCTACATCCAGTGCACAGGAGCCACACAAAAGCCCGAAACCCGAGAAAGCAACCGTAGGTTCAGAAAGGAGTGGAGTCCCGAAGCGAAAGAACGGGAGAGATCCCAGCGTGTCAGTGTGTGCGCCCACGTTTGTGTGTTTGTGCCTATGTGTTTGTGTTTGTTTGTTTGTTTGTGTGTGTGTGTGTGTGTCTGCCTGTCCGCCGGTCCGTTCGTCTGTGCCTTCATCCGTCTGTCGGTTTGTCTGTCTGTCTCTTTGTCCTGTCTGTCCTGTCCCGTCCCGTCCCGTCCTGTCCTTCTTCTGTCTGTCTGCTGGGTCCAAAGCAGGCTGGGTTCGCTGCATCCTTTTTTTTTTTGCCGCCCGGGCTTTGCTTTGGAAACTACTCTGGCAATCTTGTCGAAACCCTCAGGCGCCCGTCAACCCTGACTCCCAAAGCTCCGACCCTTCAACCCGACCGCAGGACATGAATGACACCGCCAGAACCCTCGTAGGTAAGCTGAAGGCCATGAATAAGGCCGAGGCCTCCGTGCAGAATCTTGTCGAGTTTCTGGCTTTCTGAGGTTTTGGGTGCCGTTTGGATTCACGACGGTGTTAATCCCTGGTTTTTGGGTAGGAGTTCTAGGATGCTAGGGTGTAGGGTGTAGGAATTCAGGGGTGCAAGGCGTTGGTTGTTTAGGACTTTGAACTTTCGGGTTTAGGAGTGCAGAGCTTCAAAGGCTAGGCGGCTAGGGTTTGGGGGGTATGCAATATAGAGGTCGGAATACTTAGGACTTAGGAATATCAGTCCCGTAATTATACGGCAATACTCCTCAACAAAACTTCTTGTAACCATCAAGGCCCTATATCACGAACTATATTAAGGGGTTTAGGGTTTCGGATGGATTCATGTGCCTGGCTCAGCTGAGCAACCCCGAAGCTCCCCCCCGTTAGCTTTAAACCGCAAGGCCTAAAACCTGAGAGGTGCAAAACCCTGAGGCGGTGCACCCATCCTACCGGGGCCTAATTAAGTACCCATACCATGTTGGGGGTTCCTTGTTATAGTTATGGTATAATATCCCCCAAGACCCGACTAGCCCCTATATGACACCGTCTTGCAGGCGGCGGAGAAGGCGATGAAGCTCTTTAAGTCGCTGAGGTAGGGAAGGGGCGATTGGGTGCATGCTAGGTTGTGATGGGAGTTTCAGATAACAGGATCCTATTAGGCACCCTAGATAAAGAATGTACCGAAGCTAAAGATACTGCTTAATGTTTACGACGAAAGGTTCATCGGGGTTTAGGGTTTCGGGTTTAGGGAGGTTAGCGACGGGGATGTTCGGAGGCATCTTAACTCTCGTATTTCCCACAGGGTTGTGTTGTTCTGTTTGTGTCTGTGCGGTTTCGGGTTGCGGTTTTAGCTTCGGGCTGCGGGGTGCACTCCCAATTTATCAGGCGTCGACACTCATTTAAGGACAGTCTGGACGTTGATGGCCCGTACAAACAACCATTCGAGTCACATACCTACTGCAGTGTGCATTTCTCGGGTGATCGTGCAAAGTCTGGGACGTGAAGGTGTGCATGTATGCCGGGCCTTGAAGCATCTGCCGTCATAACTTGCTCCAACGTCCCCCACCTCGCGCACGGACGAACCAGTTTACCAAGTCACGCATCCCGCATGGATATTTCCATGCCGAATGCACGACCGTTATTCCTCAGGCACACAACAACCGACATTTTTTAGCGGGAGAGCAGACAGGGGGCCAAACTTTGCGAACTATGCGCTGCAGTAATATGAGCCTTGAAACCACGGGGGCTGGTCGCACGCACGGTTTTATGCCATGCTCCAATGATGCATGGCCATGAATGTGAGAAGGGATCAGTTCGCAAATGACCGGTGCTTTAAACATGTACAGCTTGGGTGCTGGTGGCGAGGCGGGTGACATAAAGGTTCAGCTCAGAAATATGAATGCTCCCCAGGCTTCCAAGTCCTAACCATGCCAGGAAAAGAGTGCAGAAAGGCATGGGGAACGTTGCCATCTCAGCATGGCTGCAGCAAAAAGACGAATGTCATGGTTTCGAAGTTCATGACCTGGCATGCAAGCGGTATGTCGAATCGTTCGGCCTGCGACGCTGAGCACCCCGAGCTGGACACTCACAACGTAGAGCTGCTGAGAGATTGGTGCGAGAGGCAGGGTCGCCAGCTGGTAACTAAGACTTTTCGAGCTATGTGCAGAGTCTTAGCAGTTGTAGGAGGTTGAGATGATGGTAAGGATGATACCATCCTGAAGACCGGTCTCATGATCAGCTTCTCATGAAGAGAACGAAGCATGTGATGGCGACTCGGTGACGAAGGTGTTGCACGATGACGACATATGACGACCAGGACACAACGACGGGACACGCCATTGTTTCTTCCAGTTGAAGCGCTCCGCTACGAATTAAAGCCTGAACCCGAAACTCTAAATTCAGAGTAACTTTTTCGCAGCTTTGGTGTTAAGAGAGAAACAAAAACCAATGAAACAAGCAACAGCACTAACCAACCTCATCAGAGCCATCGAAGTCAGCAGCAGGAACCTGAATGTCGACGAAGCCCGGATCGACCCGTGCGCCCGGGACCGGGCACTTCTGTGTGTGTAGGGGGCTGGGGCTTTAGCCAAAAGCTTGGGTCCAAGTTTCAGGGTCAAGGACTTTGCGTCTGTAGGGGTTTGGGGCTCAAAGGTTTGGGGTTCAGAGTTCTTTCAAGAATCGTGTGCTGCATGGGCCGCAACCTTGAACAACAACTCAAGAGCTTGCTTTGCTTTCCTGTCGCCTGTCACAAGGCATCCCACCCTGCGCTGATGGATACACGCTGGTGTTGGAGCTATCGGTTTCGCCTCGAAACAGGGCACAGCTTCTCATCTTTATGATGTTCTGGTTTGAATAGGGTTTTGGGGCCCACTATACTACAATTATAATAAGGAACCCCCACCATAGTACAGGCAATGATTTGGGCCCCTACATGACGGGTTTAGGGTCACATCCAGAGCCCGCAGAAGGCCGAGCCCAGGGCACCGGCCTTTTCCTCACCGGGAAGAGGCCTCGGCTGTAAAAAAAGCAGCGTCAGCCCGACCGGCGCTTGCTCATACTCATAATATGGGGGGCCCTCTGACACTCCCGGTTTAGGGTTTAGGGTTTAGGGTTTAGGGTTTAGGGCTTTGAAACCCTCGACACCCCAAGCTCCGACATCGCGGGGGGTTCCGGGCCTCACATGCCCCTGCGATGCAGACTTAATAAAGAGGTCTGCGCAACTTGCGACACGATGCAGTTGGAGTCTTCATAATCTGCACCAAGACCCTAAAACCTAAACCCTACACCCTAAACCTAAACCCTAAACCTAAACCCTAAACCCTAAACCCTAAACCCGAAGCCCGAAACCCGAAACCCTAAACCCTTAACCTTAAACCCTTAAACCCTAACCCGAAGCCTTAGGGCCCCAAAAGTAAGGCCCGGACCCAAGTGTCAGGTACCTGCCTCGGCAAGACCAAGCCGGCCAAGCTCCAGACAGAGCTCGGCTGAAGGCGGTTCTGAAGGCAGAGACTGTTTCAGTCGAACCATTGAGCTTAGAAAACCTCATAGGGTTCAGGGTTTCGGGTTTAGGGCTGAGGGCTTAGGGGTTTAAGGGTTTAGGGGTTTAGGGTTTAGGGTTCAGGGAATTAGGGGGTTTAGGGTTTAGGGTTTAGGGGTGCCAAAAAACTCCTTAAACCCCAACCATCCCAAACGGCCCAAACCCCTCAACCCTAAACCTTTACACCCTAAACTCCTTAAGCCTTTGTTCCTTGTTTCGTTATGCTTTGAACAGGCTACAAAAGCCCCCACAGTCTTACACCCTCAACCTGTACACCCCGAACCCTAAACCCTTCAACCCCAAAGCCAAACTCCCAAACCTCCCTAAACCCTAAACCCTAAACCCTAAACCCTTCAACCCCACCGCAGGAAATGAATGACGCCGCCAGAACCTGCGTACGTAAGCTGAAGGCCATGAAGAAGCCCGAGGCGCTTTCAGCGGAATCTTTTCGAGTTTCAGGCTGTCGGACGTTGTTGGGTGGTGTTTTTGCCGGTTGCTTATAGGAGTTCTAGGATTCTAGGGTGCGCGATTTCGGAGTTCAGGGGTGCAAAGTGTTGCTTCGGACTTTCGACGTTTCGGGTTTAGGAGTTCGGGGCTTGAGGGTCGATGTCGGGCTTAGTAACTAAGTATGGTATGTAATATATGGGGGTTTCCGAAAATAGGGGACCCTAATATAGTACCCCCAAATAGTAGGATCCTTATTATAAGGACCCCCAAATAAGGTACCCTAATTTTCGGAACCTCCCATATAGAGGTCGGAATACTTAGGAATAGTATACCTTTAACGTTTTTCAGTCTGTCGCCCTGCTTCAATGATCAAGATCCCCTAATATTGAGGGGCTTAGGGGTTTAGGGCCCTTTATGGGTTTAGGGTTTAGGGTTTAGGGTTTAGGGTCCCGGCTCAACTGCAAATTTTGACGAGGAGTTCACAAACCTAGGAAACCACATCTTAAACTCCGAGTCCGGGTTCAGAAGTCCCAGATCACGACACCTGAGCCGTCTTGCAGGCAACGGAGAAGGCTATGAAGCTTTTCAAGACGCTGAGGTAGGGCAGGGGCGGGTGGGTGCATGTGTGATGGGAGTTTCGAGATAAGGCATCCCAGTACCGACCCTAGATAAAGAAGGTACCGAAGTTTTGTGAAACTCCTTCATGCTACGAAGAAGAGTTCAAGGGAATCTAGGGTGGGGGAGGTTGGGGTGGTTCAAGGTTTAGGGGTTTAAACCCACAAGGTGCATGTTTTTGTTTGTCTCTGTGTGTGTGTGCGCGTGTCTTTGTGTTTGTCTTTGACCGTGCGTTTTTGTTTTTTTGTTCGGGTGGATCGTCCCGAAAGAGCAATTTATGAGGTGATTGCGTCTATGTTACGGTTTCGGGTTGAAGCCTCAGGTTGTGATTGTGGGGGTGCTCGTGTAAAAATAGTAGGGACACGGACGGGCCATGGTAACCATACAAGTAATCTGGAACCTACTGCAGGGTGCATTTATCAGGTGATGGTGTTTGGTCAAAGTCTGGGCCGTGAAAGTCTGTTTTTCTGTTTTTCCGCCGGGCCTTGTTGTTTTGATTTCGGCCAGTCAATTAAACGTCGATTTGGCTAGCCCAACACGATTGCAGGCACAAAACCAACAGTCGCAATGCTCAGCGTGTGCATTGGCGTCCGCCTGTTTGCTAGACTCCAAGGTAGGCTCGTGACCCAGTTCGCTTGCTGCAAGAGAAAGTCGACGTGCGCCAAGATTGTCCTAAGTATGAATTTGCTTGTGACGACGACGAAGCATTGCACGGGCCGTGTTCTGGCGGGAAAACTGACAGGGGGCCCTGACCGCCTAACTTTGTAAATTAGGTCCTGCATTGGTGTGCGCCATGAAAGCACCGAGGCTTGTAGCACACACTTTTATATGCCGTGCCGGCATGATACGCTGCCGACGAATGTGATAAGGGATCAGTTCGGTCACACTTTAAACGTGTGCGGCGTCTGCCGTGAATGGAACTGCTTCCGCTCGCTTCGTCTCAGGACGTGAAGACGCTAGGTATGCGACAGGCGGGTGACATAAAGGTTCAGCTAAGAAATATGAATGCTCCCCAGGCTTCCAAGTCCTACCCCTGCCAGGATAAGAGTGCAGAAAGGCCTGGGGAACGTTGCCATCTCAGCATGGTTTCGAAGTTCATGACCCTGCATACAAGTGGTTTATCGCCCACGTCTTGGTTGTGAATCACCGAAGAAAGCGTTCGGCCTGCGACGCTGAGCACCCCGAGCTGGACAATCGCAATGTGGAGCTGCTGAGAGATTGGTGCGAAAGGCAGGGTCGCCAAGTAATAGCTAAGACTTCGAGTTATGTGCAGAGTTCTTCCAAGAATCTTCGATTCATTACGTGAAGAAAAACATGACACTGAAGGTGGCAGTTGTAGGACCCAGGATGAGATGAAGGTAAAGAGATATTTTTGATAGTGACGATTATGATGATGATGATGATGAAGATGATGATGATGTCACGGACGCCACCTCATCATGAAATCCGGTAGCAGGATGAGCTTCTCATGAAAAAAGGCGAAGCATATGATGATGACGTGGTGACGAAGGTGCTATATGATGCTGACCATGACACGACGACATGAAGTTTTCTGCCACGAGTCAAAGCCTGTAACTGTAGCAGTGTAAAAAAACACGTGAAAGACACAACCATCGAATTCAGCGGCAGGTATCTGAATGTCACCTTCGCCCCGATCGACCCCTGCGCCTGGAACTGTGCACTTCTCTGTGCGTAAAGGCGTTCAAGGGTTTAGCCAAAAGTTTGGGTCCAAATGGCTTTGGGGCTGTAAGGGTTTGGGGTTTACTTTCTTTTCGAAGAACAGCATCTTCGATAGTATGCCGCAGGGAGCGCGTCTTTGAAAAAGCGTTGGCTTTGCCTTCGAGTTGCCTGTTCCTCTCCGCCACAAGGTATCCTACCCTGCCCTCCTGCTTAATGGACACATGCTGGAGCTTTTTGTTTCGACCCAAACAGGGCACAGCTTCTCATTGGTACTAGAGCCAAGGGTGCAGGCCCTTTCGTTGTGGGGAACAGGCTGCCGTTTTGCAAAGGAACGCAGCCTCAACCCGCCGGCACACGATTCAACGTAGTAGTAGAATATAGCAAAATATAGAATTATGTAGTATAACCCACAATGCGTTCAGGGTACGTTTCAACCATCGGAACGCCGCCACAGTGTAATATAGTATAGTATAGTATGATCTAGTAAAATGTAGTATATCAGACACACAGGACATCATACGGATCATACGGGACCCCTGTCTTCAGAAACTCCTGCATGATGCCAGCTCTTACCCGCACCCTTAGCCCCATGACGCTCAATCCGTCATCCCAAATTTAAACCCTAAACCCTAAACCCTAAACCCCTAAACCCTAAACCCTAAACCCTAAACCCTAAACCCTAAACTGGAAGTGGAGGTACACGAGGGAGGCAAGGTTTTAAACAACTCCCTCACACAAGAACGTGGCCTCGCGTATGCTGCTCCTTGCAGATGGAGGGCAACGAAAGTAGCTTTGTGACGCCTGCCGGTGCTAGATGTGAGCGTTCGGCACGGCTGGGCGCGTTGAATCTTGACATTCTTCCTACCAGTTGCCGTAGCCTATCAGCAGCAGAAGGCGGATAGTCATAAGAAGAACCGAAACAGCAGCGAAAAAGGTGGGTTCGCCAAGTGCGAAACTGTCGTCGCTTTTGGTCGTCTGTGTTCGCGAAAGACGAACTTCCCGGTCCATTTTAACCCGTGCTCTCGCACCATATCTTCGGTGCTGGAACAAGCATCGCCTCGGTTCCTCTGGAAACCTGGAGCTGGAGGTGCGAGCCTGGCTTGAGTGCTGGTTGCTTGCGCCTTGAACGGCAAACAGCCTTCACAACAACGAGCCTAGACTTAGTTGTGAGGATGCGTCGGCCTCAAGCAAACTTGAAGCCTGTTT